GGAGTCACAGGCAATACACAGCACCCTTCACAATACACTGAAGTATCTTTCTCCTTCTGTTATGTTATGAGGTCTGAGTCATACCTGAACAGGGTTTAGACCCTGCACTGGTAGCCAACAGCCATCAGATGGGGAAGGAAGACTGGCACTGATCACATCAGAGCAGGTGTCCAAGAAATTATATCTTGTATTTCACACATTTCTGGCACAAACTCTGTAGCAAATGTGACTGCAGCATTATTTCCCTGTACAACATTCCAGGATGAAGCTTTTTCCTAGGCTGGTTGTGCTCCACAGAACCTGTATTAGGTTCACATACATGGAGCTGCCAGACAGTGACATGTGCTGGTTGTCTGCATGCCAGGAAGGAGAGCTCACATGTTTGCATGGGGTTACCATGAATACATTAGCAGTCCTCAATAGTTTGACTTTTATTTTTTTTTTTTTTTACTTGTGCAATCACAGACAGTGAAGCCATGTGTTTATGTTCTCTTTCTGAGTACACAGTGAATCTCAGGAATCACTTAGTAGGTATTGGGCAGAGTTGAGAGTTCCTTTTGCCCACTAAGAACTACCTTTTTGTTTAAGAGACTTTGGGTACCTGTGGTGAAATGATAACTAAGCAGATGAATTGTCATTAGCCAGACCACCTGTTCAGACCTGGTACCTCAAATTAGGATACTCACCTCAGTCTCACCAGTGCATTTCATTTAAGGATGTGAGCCTAAGGATGTGAGTCTAAGGAATTCCTGATTTACAGGATCAACAGCATTTTCCTCACAGTGTTTCCTCACTCATATAATTAAGTATGTGAAACAGAACACAGTGTGCCTATCTCTCCTTTAGACTGTAGCTTTCTGGATTTAGTACTTGTTAGGACATCTGATAAGGTACCAGATATCAGATGAAGGAAACTGTGGTGACAATCTCTCCAGTCATTCAATATATGCCTGAGATATGACTAGGATTGAGAAGCAAAAAACTCTGTGCTAAAATGCTAGAATTTTGAAATAAGATTGTTCCTGAGTGTAGCTCTTCATGTGGGGACAGAAAAACAGCCATTCCTTTGCTCCCTTGTTGTTAAAAGGAAAGAAGATTTTTTTTTTTTTTAAGGGAGATATGGCAGGTAAGGCCAAAATTCTGCAAGAAATCAAAATAAAGCTGCAGCAGGTATGAAATAAAGCAAAATTTAAGGATATTAGGACCATCTCTCATGAAAAGCTTGTGCAAATCATTGTTTATATTAAGTGAACTTCAGTAAGTCATTTGAATGGCAATGTGCCATATCTAAATGATCTGAAGAATCATCATAGAATTATAGAGTGGCCTGGACTGGAAAGTACCAGTCCAGAACATACTTTACCTCTTTCTAAGGTATTAAAGGATTTAGGTGAAATAGCTTGGTTACCTTTAATTTATAGCTGAATAGCCAAAACTTCTCTGTATCAGCTTAGGCTAGCAATTTGTTAGTAACACAGCCATTGTGGTGCAGCAATAAAAGAAAAAAATTCATGAAAAACACATGCACAATGTGTTTTGCTCTTTCCCCTTATCAGTACTAGAGCATCACTTATCAGCTGGTGCCCTAGATCAGCCTCGCTGGGGACCCTGCAGCTGCAGGGGAGTTCCTAGCCTTGGGCGGGGCAGCTGCCATCTCGCAGGGCTTGGGAACCAGCAGGAGCTGCTGTCTGAGGCAGAAGCATTTTTGAGCAATCTAAGGAATTAGATACTTATATTTGATCATCACAAAGGGATAGGACCCTGGATTTTCTGAGCTTTTTCATGAAGCCCAGTCTGTGGCCCAGTTAGGGTCATGGTTTTCCTTTATCTTGAAGTGAATCTCCAGCAATGCAGGGAGGTACCACAGGAAATGATGCTACGAAAAACATCCACAGATACCCATGTAAGCTGGTCCATGGTAGGGCTTTCATGAGCATTGGTGGATTATTAAAGAATAGAAAATCTCAGGTGAAATTTTATGTAAATTAAGCTTTTTGCAGAAGCTCAGAGTCACTTACCAACAGAGTCTGTGTTCTTTACCAACAGTCTTCTCCTAGTACATTAGGAATTAACTGCCTGTGCCCAGGCCAATGCTGACATGGTGCTGCCATGTCCAGCCTTGCACCTTGCTGATCCCAACCTTGCCTTCATTACTTGGCTTCCCAGCTTGACCCCTGGCCTGCCTTGTCACCAGAAATTTGTCTGGTGATCAGAGAGCAGCTGGCCTGCTCTTCTGCCTTGCTAGGTGCCATGGGACTGTGGCTTGTCGGTGACGATGCTGCCCAGTCTGCCTGGCTGTCACCCTCAGCTCCTGGCTCACTGCCTCTTGTGGAGCTGCCAGTTCTCACTACTCCCTGACACATAGGTTTAATTTGACTTGATTTTGTTGGTTAGCTTCAGTTTTCGTTATTCTTTAAATTAATTCTTAAATTCTTTAAATTAAAAGCCAAAATATAATTAACTTTCCAAACTTTATGGCATGTGAAAGATTTAAAAATGAACCACTGAGTTATTTTTTTTCATGAAGTCACAACGAAATTTGGTTCTGCTTTCATTTCAATGCTACAGTGAAAGTTCACATTCTATTGCAAAATGCATAGGTCAGCAGTGGAAAAAATTCATGATTAAGTAACTTGCACTGCTGCTTGCATAATTCTTCCTTCATAATATATAAGAAGGAACTATGGAAAAAAGACCCTCAAATCAGAAACACAAACCCACATCAAAACAAAATTCAGTAAATGGAAACAAAAAGGAATGGAATGTAATTTTCTAGAGAGGAAAGCAACAGCCAGAATAGTGACTGCCCACAAGATCACAGAACAATTGTGGTTTGAAGGGCGTTCAGGGAATCTCAAATGGAGCCTTCTGCTAAAGGGAAGATCAGCTACAAGGTCAGATGTTGCTCAAGCTTTGTTGAGTTGGGTATTGGAAACCGCTGAGGATGGGGCACAAAGAACATCTTGGTGCAACCTGCTCCACTGCTTATCAGTTCATCATAGCTCAGAAACTCTTCCTTATATCAACTCTGACCCTTCTTGCTTCAGGTTTTCCACATGATTTCTTGGTCCCCCCTTGTCCCGTTTTCAGCTCAGGCAGAGTTAAGTTCCTTTCAATAGCTGTTACAGTGCTGTGTTTTGAATTCAGAATGAGAATGTGTTGATAACACACAGATGTGTTCTGGTTTTGTGAAATGTTTATCCTAAGTAAAGGACTTTTTTCTTGTCTCATGCTCTGCCAGTCATGAGGTTTGCAAAAGAAACTGGGAGGGGGCTTAGCTGGGACAGGTGACTTGAACTGGCCAAAGGGATATTCCACACAATAGAATGTCCTGCTCAAGTTTATAACCTGGGGAAAGTTACCCAGAAGGGTGGCTGGTCTGGGTTCAGGAAGTGGAGTCTGACTTTGGTCAGTGGGTGGTGACAAATTGTGTTGTGCATCACTTGTTTTTTCCCTTATTATTAAAATTGACCATTATTACTACATTTTAAATTTATTTTTGATTATAAAACTGTTTTTAATCTAAACGTACAATTTTTACTTTGATTCTCCTTTCCACTCCACCTGTCTGTGGAGAGACAGAAGGGGGTTGAGTGAGTGGCTTGTGGTCCCCAATGTCCAACCAGGCTTAAAACACATGACTCCTGCTATGAGCTCTTGTGAAGAGCTTGGCTCCATCTTCTCAATACCCTCTACAGGATTGCAAAGCTGCCATTAGGTTCTCTTCTCCAGGCTGAACAAGCCCGGCTTGCACAGCCTGGCAAGGTCCTATTTCAGAATGTGAAATTAACAGAAAGTACAGACACACACAGCAACTCATGAAAACAACAGAAATTCTCTTTGCAATGGAGAATTTTTTTATTTAAACACAGAGGCACACTCTCATAAGAAATATCTTACTGCTTGTGACCACTTTATGCACATCCTCCACACATAATGTCAGACCTAAAAGGGTGCTGAAAACTTCTGGTGAAAATCTTTCCGCACACAAATTTGCTAGAGGGTGATTCTTTTTTTTTGATGGAAAGAACAATTCTTTCCCTATGAAATAAAAAAAACCACCATAACCAAATATTTTCCTGGGAATTGAGCAAAGGTAAAAAGGCTGTGAGAAGAGGAAAAAAAATGTACTCTTTTCAGAGGGTCAGGTGTCTGGATGGGACAAGGAACCAGGGAGCCAGACAGCTGTTTCTGCCTGCACATGAACAGGGCCCTGAATTAACAGCTGCACTTCTGATTTGTGCTAACACCAACTTTTTCAAAATTGTGTGCGTTCTTTTGCTTCCATTCTTACTGTTTGTTGGTATATTCATGCTTTTGCCAGTATTGCTGGCTGGCTTAATTTTTTTAAAACTGACAGACTGAGAGCTCTGGAGCCTTTAGCTGAGGCCTCCATGTGCAGTTAAGTAAATGGATGCAAACCTTACTCTATTGAGTCTGAAAATGGAACCAGACTCCAGATTTCAGTCATAACAAGCAACTCTGAAGGATGGCCCTTTACATTGTTGAGATGTGAAACCTCACCTTTCTATCCTTCTCTTCCTCTCCTGTATGTATCAGGAAAAGTTTCATCCAAATTAAAACACTGGTGGCTAGAACTTGCTTTTTTATAGGCACTTAATTTAATGAATCTTCAACTATCTGAAACCCAATACAGTAATGTAATGAAACTGCAGACATACAGCTATACATTAGAACATACATTTTTCAAGGAAAACAAAAGCTTAAGGGTGGGTAAGTGCCCATACATAGGAGGTAAATAATTTTAAGAAGTGTGTGATCTTAGGGGTATGCTAAAGAAGATTTGGAGTCTTTAATGAAACACAAGAACCATCATAGCAGCATAAATAAAACCGTGAAATTTACCACACTCCCTCTGTCTGGTTCTTTGTTAATCCATACAAAGAAAACTTCAGCCTTCCTCCAGCTTAGTACATTGCAGCAGGCTGGCTGCAAGAAGAGACAGTTATGTGGGGGATCCTCAGTAATTCTGTCACAGCATGTCACAGCCATCCTTTTTGACTGTGCATTTGTTTGTTGTCACTAATTTATATACCACACGTGATTTAAAGATATGTGTTGATACTCCATTGATTTCATTGACCCTATGGTAAGTTATTATTGGCTCCAGCTACTGGAGTAAGCTACCAGCTTAGGCTGGTATCTCTGACTTTGGGGCATTTCCTAGGCACACAAGTTCCTAGGAGCACAATTTTTCTTTCTTTTCCTTTTAGGTTATCCAGTTTTTCTCTGCATGTGGTCATTCAGGAAATTTTCACAGTCTGTGTTTCACAGGAACTTCTGTAGGTGATCAGTGCAGTGTTTTTTGTAGCAGAGCTGCACGGAGCATGTCCTTTCACTTGGTCTTCCCCACGCTTTTGTAGGCACAAGCAGCACCTGAGCAAATTCACTATCTCTGTTCGTGCAGTGTCACTCACAAAGCAGTACAGAATGGGATCCGCAATGCAATTCAAACTAGTTAAGGCCTGTGTGATTCTGTAAACCTTATACATCAGCAGCAAAAGATGTGGGTCAGAGGTGGAAGGCTCTTTGATGCTGCGGATAAGCAGTATAACATGATAAGGAGTGAAGCAAACAATGAAACTAACTGTGATGCTCACAATAAGTTTCTTCACTTTTTTCTTTTCTTCATCTACTGTGGCTTGGTTATACCTGACTACTTGGTAGATTTTATGGTAGCAAAACACAATGATTATCAAAGGGCCCAAGTACCCTGAGCATATCCGGAATAAATTTATGTTCGCCTGCCACCTTTCCAGGGGGTAGTTATCATAGCATAATGTATGATTAGTGAAATTGCAAGGATCATTGAATACTTCTTTGTACACCAATATGACTGAATTAAAGATGCTTTCCAGAAGCCAAACAATTATGCTGACAATCACTGAAAATCTTCTTGTGCGCAAGTACTGGAGCTTCAAGGGGTGAACTAATGCCAGGTACCTGTCAAGAGAGATGCAAGCAAGGAACGCAGTGCTGGTATAGAAATTCATATACATGAGGAAGGCAAAAATCTGACAAAGCAAGGCAGAGAGCCTCCAGTCATCTCCATGCCAGGCATAATCAATCCACAGAGGCAGAATCAAAGAGTACAAAAGGTCAGCCAGAGACAGGCTAAAGATGTAGACTGCTAACTCATTCTTTTTCCTCACCTGAATGCAAGATGCATAGAGGGATATGCAGTTGATGGGAATACTGATCATCATCACAGTGCTGTACACAAATGGAAACAAATACTTATCCAGGGTGTGATCATCATGGCACTCAATGCTGTTGTTCATTGTCCACCCCAGAAGTATCCTTGAGGTAATTCCAGCCTGGGTGCAATAAAACCCCCTGTTGTAGTCTGATGGGCTGTCATCTGTTAGTTCTTCAGGACCTGATTGATAAGATTCCAGCTTTCTGCTACTAAAAAGGAAAAATGTCAGCTATTACATTTCTGTTGTTTTTACAGGATTCTTGGTGTGTGTCTTTTTTTTTTTTTTTTTTCTAGAAGTAAGGAACTGGTTTTAGGAGATCAGGGGATGTTAATGCTCCTGGAGTTAGGAATGCATAGGAAGAGGAACCCAAAATCTAAGGCTGTCAAGGTCACTTAGATGGAAGCTTCCACAGCAGAAGTAGGATGAGTAGTTAAGACACTTCTTCTAGGAGTGGGGTGCTGTCCTGCAATCCTGGGTCTCTCTTGCGGGAGAGTTAAAGGAGATCAGAAAGTAGACCACAGATAAAATAATAGATGTGCATTTTCTATTATTATGGTAAGCACTGCTCTGGAAATATGAATATGGCAGATTTTTTTATTTCAAACAGCCTCCTCCCCCCTAAGGCAATGGAGAGAGAAGGATAGAAAGACAGGGATTCAGGTATCGCTGGATGTTTGGATCTGCTCAGAAGAGGAAAATATATGTCTGGTATCTTTCTGTATTGCAAATCACTCTTGTCTTTGCATCCTCGCACATCCCTGCTTTCTCTCTCCTCCTTTGTATGTGATCCCACATGAACTTGCTGTCAACTGTGCTGGTCCAGCAAGGGTTACTGCATGTACCAGAAATCCTTGTGTGAAACTTGCCAGTCTGCTGGGTTCCTGCATGCACATGACAATCTGCTGGGATGTCCCTTCGAATATGTGAGGTGGAGACTGAGCAGAGTTTTTCATTAACACTTCTTTCCTCTAAAAATTGCAGCTGTGGTGCATGAGCTTATAAAGCCATTAGCAATTAAACTTTTCTTAGTCACTTCCAGGACTGTGGTTATCAACAGCTTCAGCATGAAAATATCAGCAAAATGGTAGCCCTGACTAAAGCAGCTGGACTGGAGGTGTTGCATGTGTGAGCCTTAGTAACATGTAGAAGAGCTGACCTTTAGAAAGGGTGAAAAAAGGGCAAGAAAGGGTGTACAGCTGTAGGTGTGAGACAGCTGAGTGTCAGTATCACAGCTCTGACACTCGGCAGTTTCCTTCTCCAGAGAATGAATTGTTACATTCAGGAAATACAACAATGGAAAATATTGGTTGCAGACCAATTATACTGACAAATTTAGTAACTACTTGAGAGACTGCTGTGATAGCTAACTGCTTGAGAGACTGCTGTGATTTTAGCTCAAAGCTAATCTGTGCTTTGAGCCTGGACTGTAGCAGAGGAGGTGAAGAGGCTGAAGAATGAGTAGGTTGCTAGATAGCACATCTACAACTGTTCTCACATGGGAAAGAACTCAAGCAGAATACATCTTGTGTGCAGAAACTTTCCCATGTGGTAAGAAAATTCAGCCCTTTATAGGTTTGATGTGTTTGTGGGTTTATCAGAAAAAAACAAACAAGTTTATTGCCTGTGCTGAGAGGTCATTATATGGGTCTCTTGTCCACAAAAAAAGCCCCTTTCATTATCATTCATTAAAAAAAGGAACAATGACAATACTACCCAGAAAGCACATATGCAATTTTACCTGCCACTGCCTTGTTTGATCAAGTTGCCTAAATTATCAGCTAGAGCTAAACTCACTCACAAGCTTGAAAGCCAAGGAAAATTGTTGAGAAGGACATGGCAATTTGGTCTATTGAGGAACCTTGTCAACATGATGACTAATTTAAAAAAAATGCAGTGTCTATATTTAAAATAAACATAAGATGTCTTCATTTCAGCTTGGTTTCATAAAACCACACTGTAAATAAGCCATTGCAAGCTTATCAGTACAGATAAGTATCACAAAATAAAAATCTAGCTCTAGAAATTGGATCAAAGGGTTTTGTGACACGCTTCTCACCAAAGAGAAATCAAATGTATGCAGACAGACCAGATGAATCAAAGATAAAATACCTACCTCTTCTCCTAATCACACTTTAGCATCTCTTCTCCTGTGACAGGTCTCTTCATGTTTAAGAGGGAAACATGACCTTTCAGAAGCATATGTGTAATGCAGCAAGTGTATGAGGCAGCGTTTCCTGGTCTTGTGACTGAGAAATTGGAATTCCTTCTCCCTCCCACATAAACTCTTTCTCTTTTGTTAGTTAACTTCTTGTATTACAGATTCACCATCCTTGTAAACTCCCAACTTTTCTCTTACTACCCACAACAGCTTATTTTGTTTCTACTCTTAGACCAACATGCCAATTTCCTCATACCACTTGGGGTTTTTTCAGTTTTTTCATTTTAGCTCATTGTTTCTAAGAATTTCACTCTGTTTATCTTACTGAACATCATAAAATAAAACACTTGTCCTTATGTTGCTCTTATCTGAATAAAGCACGCATCCTTTTGGGCAAGACTTTGATTTGCTCTTCTGCCAACTGCCTTAAAGAACTAATATCTGAAAGTGTAATTGCTAATGGCAGGCTGGGACACTAAAAATGAAATTCAAAGAAGTCAATTGAGACTACATGCAAACTGTCACCTGAGTTTTTTCTGTCCTTCATATTCACAAGTCACTGTACCCCATTGCTTTTTTTTCTTCTTAACCAGTATGTTCCTTAGTTCCTATGAACACAGCCCTGGAGGCTGTGCAGCATTCCCAGGTAATCCATGTCCAAACTGTGATGACACATTGATGGTACATACATGAGGACATGCTTTCAATGATGGTAATAATGAGAAGTGTGTCATTCTGGCACGTATTGATGACCTATACTTAAGTGTGTCAAAGAGCCAGGAAATGAAGCCTACCACAATACATGCTGCAGTTTCTTGCACAGAAATATAAAATCATAAAGCACCACTTTCCCCTAACTACAACACATTTTACTCAAATTGCTTGGGGCCTTATTTCAGAGGAAGTAGTCCATATCACACTTTCTTGCTGAGTTGTTTTTTTCATAATTAGGACTTTGTAATGCAAGATGATTTTTCTTACCTGAATGCATGATCTGAAGCATTCCCAGGTTTTCTCTCTGCTACTGAGCACACTTGCTGGCTTTGCCTAGGAGGATGGTACTGGCTTACAGATATTCTAAAAAACAATATTTGATTATTTTCCCCAATGATATATTTTTTTTAACCATCAAGGAATTTTCGTTTGATGACATGGTCTAATGGTTTGATTTTCATGGTCAAAACCTACTGTGACTAATTCCACATACTTGTGACTTATTTTACAGACTTGTTTTGGTATCAGATGTTTCAAATAAAAAAAAAAATTCTTAACAGTAATTCTTTATTTTAGATACATTATTCAATTATTACAATAGCTCCTGCCTCTGTTATTTTGCTACAGAAAACCTACTGTACAGGAATTCTGAAGAGTCAGTAAGAAAAAATTTAGAGAAATGGACTAGCAAATGTTATGCTTTAAGTACTGTATGAAAACAAGTCTGTAAAGGAACTCTGTGAGATTTTCTAGAGAAAAGTAGTCATTGGATTTGTATCAACACATTTCTACAGCATCTTCTTCAGGTTCACAGAGAGCTTTATGTAGTCTCTCCATTTATGACATTTTGAAAGTTGCAAAGTACAGTGTTAAATTTTCATAAGCTTAAATACAAAAGGATATTCCATACTTCTATCTGTAAAAAACTTTGTAAGGGAAGAAAGGAACAATGCTGTAAGAGCTAGCACAGTAGCTGCTGTTCTGATGATACTGTATATCAATCATAAGATGGAAAGATAGATTGTTTTCCTTTTTCTCTTTAAGCAATTTCAACAAAGTAGATTGCTGTGTGTTCTCAGAATAAGTTCTATTGCCAAGTTGAGCTCTTCAAGTACAGGGGATGTTCCACAGCTAATTCTTTTTACCTCAGGAGCAAATCTTACAACTCAATTCTGAAAAACTTCACCGTTTAGGAGAGTTGAAATATGCCTTTCAGAAACATGGCCTTTTTCTGCTTACAATTAACAGCAATTTTCCTCATACAACATTAAATTTCACCCACACATGTCCATGAGATTCTGTAGAGACTCAAACAAGTCTAAAAGAGCTCAGGCTTTTTAACTTAAATGTATAATTTGAGCATAAACATTCATTTAATGCGAGCCAATAGGAAAAAAAACCCACATGTTTTTTAGAATGTGGGCCATGCAGGCAAGTATTATTTTGCTATATCATTAAGTGCCTCATGTTTTCCCCTATGCATACAGAAAGATGTACAGTATATTTTCACATACATGATACATGGCATTCAAAGAAGCTATTTTAACCAGAGCTTATTTTTCTGCTATGTTTTAAGCATTTTGCATATTCATATAAATAGCACTGGATATCTCAACAGTGCCTGAAGATACTGGAGAACACCAATAGAAGACTTACCAGAATCCTCTGTGAGGCCTGAGGCACATTTTGCAGTGATGGGATAGCTTAGAATGTTGAAAATTCCCCCCAAATACAGTTTTTCTCTATTATTCCCCCCTTTTGTAATCAACAGTATTTTGATCATGGCAATGCCACTATAACAAACACCGAATCAAGTTTTCTTTTGTAATCCTAGGCATGCCTTTCCTAATTCAATCTTTTGATGTCTTTTTCCTTAGTCTCATGTTTTGGTTGTGCTGGGATTTCTCCCAAAGCAATCTTTTCCAGCCCCTTTTGTGTCTCTTCTGTCAGATGTATGATGTCAGCATCCCATCAGGGAGAGCAAGGCTGAAACCTGTCCCAGAATGTTGACACCCGTCCCTGGCTCCTGAGCGTTTACCTTGGCCGCCACGTGTCCCCGTGCAGCGGTTCCCGTTATGCCATTGGCAGTGTGACCTGTATCTGCTTCTGAGAAAAGTGGCTGCTTCTGCTTCATCAGATACGGAGACAGGAAGCTGCTCTTTAGATAAACAGGCAGCAGTTCACACATCTCTTGGTTTTACTTCCCTTTTTTTTTTTTTCTGTCCCCAATTCCTTGTTAATCTAAGCTTATTCATGAGAAAAAGATGAACAAAGGATGGACGCGACCTCAGTAGATAAAGGAATGCTTTTAGACACTTTATAAAATTTTAATTTAAAATATTGTCTGATTATATGAGCGTAGTGTATTATACACCCCTTATCTAGGAGACATTGTATTCTGCAGAGGAACCAATCCACAGAAATTAAATGCTGTGTTTTATTTGTATTTACTTGTGTAAGTTCAAAATGTGCATGTTTTTGTTGACTGAAGGACCTCACCTGCCTTTCCCTACAAACTGATCACAGAATCAAATAGGAATCCACCTGAGAAGAGCTTAAAAATGTTTTACAATCACTTTAGGAGTCTGAGGAAAAAGAATTAGGTATTTTCAGAATTTATGAGAAGCTCATGAATAGTTCTAGTTAACAAAGGATAATAGCATTTCATGCACTGCGACAGGTTATATATTTATGTATTTTTATATAAACTGACTCTGAGGTAGGATGCAGTTTTCAGAGGAGTGATTCTTTTAACAGATATTTCTATTCAATTAGACCAGTGGAAAGTTGTTACGTGAGTATGGTTCTCTTCCCCCTCTGTGATCAGAATAATTTATTGCATTTTTTTCTTAAATTCTGTTTGGAACAATACAATTCTGCTTTAAGAAAGTGAGTACAATTTCACTTGAAATATCCATCTGTTGAGTAACACCAAAACTGTCCGGTTTGATGATTCAGATGCTAAGGAGAAATGAAAGAGAACACATTGAAAATAGGGGCATACTGACTTCCTTGAGTATAGCAGGCTGCTCTATAATATTTAACCACTGTATAGAGAGATTTGGTTCCTTTTTTTTAAGTCAGTGTGTCTTTTTCATCCACAGTTTTTTACTGATCTGATTGTTACATGAAGCCTGAACTACCCAATACTTGTGGCCAATCTCAAACTGTTAAAATAGCCCCTTCCTGTTTGGTGATTGGAAGATCACTTATATAAATTTCTAAAATAAATTTCAGTCACATCTTCATTTTCACTGAGGGAAAAGTCATCAGACAAAGACCTGTTTCATCACTTTCTGTGTGCTATTTCCTAACATGGTACCTACTAAGTGTCCAGTATGCCGGTTCTGGTGTTTTGTTGAGCATTCCTATAGTTTGCTAAAGAAAAAACAGTTCTTATAACTATTAGATATAGAGAAGCAGAGTTGGAACATTTCTACAGTTCTTTTCTGTGATGACAGCAGAACTGAAAGATCAAAGGAGGAAAGAGAGGAGATGATGCTTTTTATGCATTCTGGAAGTAAAGCTGTATGTTGAAATAAATTCTTAATTGTGTCCGTATGCAAAACCACAATTTTTCCAGGGTTTTTGTGAGATCTGGACATATACAGTATCTCAGATCAGTCCTCCAGGAACAACATGTTATTAGCATTTGATGAGAAAAAAAAAACCCAACCCTGAAATAGAAAACCATTAACAGTGGAAAACTATCTTATCTAGAAAAGAAGCAATGAGTAAGTCCTCAATAAGTTTATTGATTAAATTGGAGTTTACAAAGGATCCACGAACAAAGGTGTTGTCAAGAAAATTAATCCACAAACATCAGAGGTTATATCCAAAAAGGAGACAGAGGAGTCCTGTAACTTTATTTGAATAAAGGGAGAGGTCATGGGGCATTCCCCATGGGGTCTCTCAAAATTTTTAGGGGATGCACCCTCCTTTTTATCCTAATTTCCTGGCCACATTTCCCTCTCTCTCCTCCCATTGGCTGAGGTACTTGAGAGGTATACAGACTTCCCAAAATGCATAATACCCCTTCTAATGTATACCCTCCTCATTTTTCTTTTTCCTTGTGTCTCTCTTCTTTTTCTCTAAATCCAGATATGTATGACAGTCTTCAGTGAGTAACAGTCTGTGTCAATTAGTGGGATTCCTATGGAATGGTTTCCCCTACTGCTTCTTTCACTTCTCCGTATCTGGCCCATTGTAAAGACACCTCCTTTTTAATCCTTTCAGTGTAAAGAAAAAAAAAAAGGTTCAACACAAGGTCAAGGTGCAGAGTGA